AAATCTAAAACAAAACAGTTTTAAAATTTAAAGCAGATCGAAAATTGACCTGTTTTTCAGAAAAAGTAGTCCATCTGAGAAAATTAAAAATGCACATATTCTTAATCAACCCATCACATTCGATCTAAACATATATGAAGAAAAAAAAAATAAACTTCTAATTTAATTTCGTATTTCCGGTATCTACATAATCTAACGATTTTTACGCATTACTCGAGTTTATCTTTGCAAAAAAAAAAGAAGAATTAGATTTATGTACTATTTTCCCTTTCGGGTATAATAAATATTCACTTTGATGATGTATACTATACATATTGGATAAAATATCTAAATAAATTTGATAAACCTTCGAATGATTATCTGTTATTCAATAAATTATAGCTAAATGTGAATCGTTTCAAGTAGTAAGAATGAAAAAAAGAAACTAATTCAATATCTTTACCGTTTTAACGAATTGTATTACATGTAGTTGTATTTCAACGGATGTTAAACAAGTTGGCAAACTATAGTTCATCAGACTTTGTAGTGATTATATGGGTGGTGAAAATATTAAATAATATGCTGAATTTTCAAAGATATCCCATTGCAGTCGTTCTTTTGAAATTCATCTCTTTCATCGCGGGTTCTCTTTCTCATACAGTTTGTATCATAATAGATCATCATCAAGATTGTATTATATTCTCGTCTTTTTTCTTTTTTGATATTCCATATGTTATGTTGACAGATGCATTTGTTTTTAGGTCAGTCTCTTAGAAATACTAAGATCAAAGAGTACAATAAAGTTAATAACACATCAATAACATGATCTTCTTTTCTGTTTACGAAAACATTCGGGGAAAAAAACTGACTAGTTACGAAGAAGTTCGATGGAATGTCATATTATCATAAAGAACATGATCTCTTCTCTGATCTGTAACGTGCAAGATTAAAATAGCTTTAATGAATATAACTTCTCAGTGCTAAACATATACATGCATCAGGTACTAGTATTTGATATTTTAATTTTGTTGTTTTACTGTTAATAATTCAAAAAGAATGTCAATAAGGAAATTAGAAATGAATCAAGCATAAAATATTCAAACTAAATTATCGTTATCTTTCGAGGCTTAAATAAAAACTTGTGTCATATAAAACTTGAAAGATCAAAAGCCAATAATGATATCATTATATACTGACGATAAGTGATATTTATTAGAATTAAAAATATACATTCAATAGATTGCAATAGTTTAATTTGTTCATTTAACTTTATTTACTTTATATTGAATCAAATAGAGCTTTTACATTGATTTATTTCAAGCATTTCAAATGAGATAACTTCAAGATTGAATTAGAAAGTTTAGAATATTAATATGCTAGAAAAAAAACACATTTCTGTTTTTATTCTACATAGTTCGATACCGACTAATTTTTGTAAGGTTAAATAATCATTCTTCAAAGTCAAATTAGATATAAAAAAAGTAATGAATTAATTTTAATTGAAAATAATTAGATACTATTTTATAATGAAAGAGTTTTAATAAGCTTTTCATTTTCATCTTGTATTTTTATGTTATTAATTTATACAAAGATATTTCCAATTTCAGCGACATTCATAAACATATTACAAACATGTCAAAATAAATCATAGATAAAAGACTTCAAGGCTTCATGGGACTTCTCGAGACTTCACAGACTTCATGAGACGTCACGGCTGAAGTCTCCGCTGTTTCCCCCTTGACTACATGATTGTAGTGTTAATACATAACATATTTGACTACATAAGAAATATATTATATATAAAAAAAAAAAAAAATTTTACTCTGAAGTTGACAAGGAAGGATTGCACATTTATCGATAGTTGTATTAGCTTTAATTGATTTTTTTACATAGAAGATCGTTAACACCACACTAATGTCTTTATTGTGAAGTAAAACAATAAACCAAAAGTGGCAGATTCTAACTTCAGAAATATTTTCCACTTTTGTTATTTTCGCTTTTTTTTGTCGCATACTACCCCTCTAAATGTAAAGAAATTTTCATCTCAGTAGATAAGCAATAGGTCTTCTCAATGAATGTTGAAGAAATAAATAAGTTTTTTTTTATTCTTTGACGATTTCATAACGTTATGTTTTTATAAAAACAAAGGGTTACATAGGCGACAGAACACGACGCTGACTATTTTATCTTTGTCACCTAGTATTGTTGAAAAGTACTAATTAAGCAACGATAGGTTTCATTTCACACTGCTCAAGGTTATGATAAAGATACGATCGCATCATTAATGATAATCAACATGAAATTCAAATGGAATTCAGATCTTTGTCTACAAATATCAAACGTAGTCTGATTCATCATTTTTTTTTCCATTTGATGTTATCTTCTATACAGTCAAGCGTATATATCATAGGTTGTTCACATCGTATTGTCGACTATCACAAAAAAATTTTTAACCGATTTTAAGTACATAACGCAAAATGTGAGTTTCTACTACTTATGTCATGTATTGAGCGTAACTATTCATTTTTATTCGCAATTGATATTTTGATATGATCTACAATATTTAAAGTTCTCTTTTTTTTCCGTAAGTATCGGATCAAAACTACATCAAATCTAGTTCTTTTTTAAATACAGTTCACATTCAATATTCAGAAGAGTAAAAAATATAAACAGATAAGATTTATGAATATTAATCAATCACAAACCACAAGAAACGTTTTATATTGATACACAAGATATTCATAAAAAAAAAATCAAATTATTGATTATTATTATTTCTAATCATTTCTAACCTATTCAAATAAGTAGTTGCAAGTTATCATAAATGTTTTATGTTACTGAATGAGATTTTTATTTCAAATACGATACATTTTACTACCGTCAGTGAAGCACATTCTGAATATTTGCAAGAAAAGCAAGTGGAATGTTTAAAAATGTTGGATGCTATTTCATCGAAACATTGGATCATAAAAAAGGAAGAGTTCTCCTTTTCAATTCGTTCTTGAGTATTTTTTTTATCACGTATAGTTAACCGTCGGAAAATTTTCATATAATATATAAAAAGTTAGAAACGATCAATGACAAGAATAAACGAGATGTATTCCTTAATTTCTAATCACTTTACTGCATTAAATCGATTTCAAGTACTGAAAATATTCTTTTCTTTCAAAATATACTTATTCTAAAGCATGTTTAAGACTCCATCGAGAGATGAATTTAGGTATTCAGCAACGGCAATTTGATGACTTTGAAATATATATACGACGTCCGTATGAGTTTTTGTCCTTGTGAAGAGACATCAACAAACAGACATACTTGAACAATTAGAAAGGGTGTATATTTAAAGTGAAGCACAAAAGTTTAAGACATTTTTTATTTTTTTATTTTCTTTTTAAAGGTAAGAGAAAATAAATATCTTTACACATATATACGTAGTCATAATTGAGGTCTATATAATTCATATATGTTTTCTGAAATTATTCTCTAGCTAAGGATGTACAATGCAATACAATTTTTTTCTCTGTAGTCAAAAGTTTAAGACGCTTTTAGTACTTTGTCGATTTTATCGATATTGAAAACAGACAAAAATTTTCAAAAATATACTATTAGATGCAGAATTCGACGGGCTACATTATGGTATAGAAATATTTTCTTAATTAGTTAGTTTAATAATTAAACGGATATTTAAATAGAGAGAACCTTGATGTTAAACAACTTATTGAACAGATGAATATGAAAATAACATTTTTTTCATGAAGTCGAATAAACAAAGTCTGAATTAATTTCAAACAACTTCAGATGTGAACTGTTGCGAAGAGAGTTTTTTCAACTAATGTATAAATTTCTTTTGCTGTATGAAATAGATACTTTGCGATTGTTCTGATGATAGTTGATAACTAAGTACGTTAAAATTATATTTAGATTTATAATGAAAGCGCATCTTCGGAAATTGTTACGATGAATACATCAGGATCAGCTATGTTAGTTATATTTATAATTTTTTTTCTGATTATTTTTTTGATAATGTGATACTCGTTCATGAAAAAATTTAAGTTTTTTATTTTCGATATATTCTAATGCTCTTTTATGAAATTCAAACAAACTAGATAATTTCAATCAAATATGTGAGTTGAATTATAATCATCAAAATTATTCATGCTTAATTTAGTAAGTGTGAAATTATATGAGTGATGCTTCATCAGATATCGGTATATCTGTCGATGTTATTGCAAAGGTGTTATCACTACAACATACCGTTAATTTTGCGACAACGTAAATTTCCATTTTGAGAGATCGAATAGTGCTAGTTATGGAAAAAAATCTTTTTTGCGCAAATTTTAATGAAATAATTAGTTGTTTTATTTATAAACATTGGGTTTCCAAGATAATTCGAAAAAAACCTTATTTTCAAATGAAATCGATTTTATAACGAAAAAAGTCTAATTCTCCGATAATTATAAAATATCAATGATAAAAAGATGTTTTACCATCGCTGTGATTATAGAAAAAGGTTAAATATGTATTAAATGTTGTATTAGTCGTTTTCAATTTCTTTAAGATTGCGTCAAATTGAAGATTAGAGATTGTTTACTTATATTCGATAGTGATTCATATTTAACGAGTCTCATATTGGCATCTCTCATTATAGATACTAAGTCTGATGATGGTACATATAATAAGAAAGAAAAAGCCAACGATTTAAGAAAAAGATAAGTGAATACGGTAGTGAATAATAACTTCAGCGTTTCCATATATTCGTGTAAAAGCATAATTTACTTTTTAATTAATATTCATTTATTAAAATTATGAGTACTAAATACAATTGAATGACGACATAAGTAAAAAAAAGAATTAGAGCGAGATTAAATGATAATTATGAGTAAAAAAAAAGAATCAGAGCGAGGTTAAATGACAATTAAAACAGTAAAATGCATAAAATACTATATTGAAATATAAACTACGATACTAAAACTACGATTCTACAAAGATGTAAGAATGTTCATTAAAATTTTGATGACCATCTAAACTCTTAATTCTGTTGGTGTGTTTGGTGAAACTGATGGTAAATTGAGCATTGACAATGGCAGTTGTGGCTGTAAGATGCCAGTCTTGTTGTTAATAATTTTAGCCAATTCAATAAGATTGTTATTAGACGAATTGTTTTTTCTTCGATTAAAATAAAAACAAAACGAACAATAAAAGAATGCTAAAATTGATAAAATAATAGCAGCAAGAACCATGTAGGTAAGCCAATTTTGTTGGATATCTTTTAACCAAACTGCTGGTGCGGTTATGATATCGCCACCACTTTCAATGACTTTACTAGCAGTTTTACCAACAGTATTCATTACTTCTTGAACAGCAGTGCCATTTTTAACCTTCAAAGCTGAATCACCTACAAATATTTGATTATGCGAACCTGATCCTTTGATAACTGGATCAACTGATGTGTTTGAGTTACCAATACCCATAATACTTATATTCCAGACAGAAGAAAATAATTA